CCTAGAGTCTTTGGTTGCGTATGTTTTATACATGTAAAGGATCCAAAGAAGACCAAGTTGGATCCTAGGGCTACGAAAGGAATCTTTCTAGGGTACTCTCCTACACAGAAGGGTTACAAGTATTATGATCTCGTCACCAAGAAGAAATACTTCACAAAAGACGTGGTATTTTTTGAGTCTCAAACCTATTTTCATTCTTCCTAGAATCCTCTTCAGGGGGAGACTAGTGGGATGGAAGAGGATTCTTCTTCCCCCTCCTTTTTTGTGCCTCTTTCTGCCTCGGGCCTTCCATCTTCTCCTCCTGATCCTCCTAGTTGTAGCATCCCGGGTGAACCTAGTGAGGCTCCCATTGCACCTGTTACCAACTCTTGATGTTGCAGATGTAACTGAGGACACCAGTAGGCAACAAAAAGATATAAGAATCACCTACAACAGAAGGAAAAAGGACCCTCTAACTCATGGCAGCAATCAATCGGACTCGGATCAATTTGTCTTAGCAACTCTAGGTAATCTTATCACTCATACTTCTGATTTGGATCTCCCTATTGCTCTTTGTAAGTCTACCCGTTCTTGTACTTTCCGACACCCCATTGCTGAATTTGTTCCTTACTCATGTTTATCTCCTCGTTATTATTCCTTTGTGTCTGCTCTCTCCTTTGTGCATGTCCCTACTAGGTACTCAGAGGCAGTGTCTGACCCAAAATGGAGAGAGGCTATGAATGAAGAAATGAAAGCCTTAATGAAAGCMAGGACTTGGGAATTAGTGGATCTACCAGAAGGGAAGAGCACTGTGGGATGCAAGTGGGTGTTCATTGTAAAGCATAGGGAGGACGAGTCCATTGAAAGATACAAGTTCAGACTTGTGGCAAAGGGGTTTACTCAAAAGGAAGGGATTGACTACAAAGAGACCTTTGCTCCAGTCGTGAAGCTCAACACAATCCGGGTTTTATTGTCATTAACTACAAACTTCTCATAGGAGCTACATTAGTTGGATGTGAAGAACGCTTTCCTAAATGGTGATCTATGTGAAGAGGTATTCATGGATCCTCCACCAGGTTATGGCTTTGATGGGAAAGTGTGTAAACTGAGGAAAGCATTATATGGTCTTAAGMARTCTCCTCGRRYTTGGTTTGAGAAGCTTTGTGGGGCCATGAAGAGAGTGGGATACACTCAAAGTGGTGCAGATCATACCTTGTTCATAAGGAAACAGAATAACAGACTTACGACTCATTGTCTATGTGGATGATATGGTGATTACAGGGGATGGTTTGGAAGAGATAAAAAGATTAAAGGAGTTCTTGCCTTCTTAGTTTGAGATCAAAGACTTGGGCCATCTAAGATACTTCCTTGGAATTGAAGTTGCTAGGTCACAAGAGGGCATCTATATATGTCAACGGAAGTATGTCATTGATCTTGTAGAGGAGACAGGTATGATGGGGTGTAGACCAGCAGATACTCCAATAGAATAGAACCATGGTCTACAGGAATCAGTAGGAGAGTACTACCTTGATAAAGAGAGATACCAAAATCTGGTAGGGAAGTTGATATATCTGTCTCTCACTCGACCATATATTGCTTATGTTGTACATGTTGTTAGCCAGTTCATGCACTCTCCAAAGATTCCTCATATGAGAGCAGTGGAGACAGGAAGTCTACTGATGCTGATGCTGATTGGGCTGATTGGGCTGGTTCAAAAAACACAATAAAATTGAAATTGAAGCGAATACTGATGCTGATTGGGCTGGTTCTGTTGGAGGGAATTTGGTTACATGGCGAAATAAAAAGCAGAATGTGGTTGCTAGATCAAGTGCTGAGGCTGAATATTGAGCTATGGCTCATGGTGTTTCTGAACTACTGTGGCTTAGGACCCTTCTTGGTGAGCTCGGGATAAAGGTCGAGTGTCCTCTCAGGCTGTACTATGACAACAAGGCTGCCATCAACATTGCAAATAACCCAGTGCAACATGATAGGACGAAGCACATTGAGATTGACCGACACTTCGTTAGAGAAAGAATAGTCTCAGGGGAACTCTGCATTCCTTATACTCCTTCCGAGATGCAGATTGCAGATGTGCTAACAAAAGGACTAGCTTCAATGAAATTCTTAGACTTACTTGGCAAGCTAAACATGACTGACATCCATGCTTAGCTTGAGGGGGAGTGTTGGTTGGGCTGGTTTAGTGTTTATGTTAGTCATATTTGTGTCTTAAGTCCTTAGTTATTGGGCCTAAACTTGTTTAATGTTTTATTTGTCTAGGTGYCCCATCACTWATCAGGGGCATTCTAGTCCATTCATGTAACATTATTTTGTAAACATCTATATAAGATTGTTGGGCCGGCTGAAGTGTGTAAGCCGCCATTCTCAGATCTTCTTCTTCTTCTTCTTCTTCGGCTGCTGTATTCCAGCAAACACATAAAATAAAATGTAAACAAAGCCCCATGAGATAACAATTAATAAATTCTTTCTGTGACCACTGGATTGCATGATCTCTACATTTCTTCTTACACATATTCTAGATGTTAGTTGCTCCTTCTATCTTACACCTATATCTTGTAATTCACTTAATTTGCGAGCTGTTTTTGCAATTTATTTGGATTTGAGGGTGGGTAAACTAATAGGAATATTCCATTTCTCTTGGTAATTATGTTTATAAACAAGTGCTTCTGAATTTTCTCATCTACTGTTTTGATGGTTCTATTATAATTCCTTTGTACAGGCTATTCTTGGTGGTAAAGTTGATGTGCCAACTTTGTCTGGGAAGATGCAAGTTGAAGTATTGTCTTTTTATTTCTTTCCCTATTATTATTTTTCTGCTCTTTATATTTTTGCATATGATGTATTCAAATGGTTCACAATCATATGGCACATGCTATATCTCATGTTGTGTTGTCAAAAAATCTATCTGGGATGGTCATCTGTAGTACTGTAGTATCAAAAACCAGATACAATGGCTTTCAAGGCTCCAAGGGTTGAGCTGACATGTTGGCATGTTAAACCACCATATATAGTAAAATCACAACTAAAATAAGGGTGTTACCGTGTTGACATATTCTGTTTATGAAGTAAGCAGACCTGTGTTGAAGGCAACAGGTATTCCTACGAAAAACTTGAAAAGGAAAAAAAAAGAATACCCTTGTAGGTGGTAAGACCATGGTTCATGATATTGGCGATATTTGGCAAAATTTCCCCGAAATATCCATATTTTTCTAGGTGGATATGAAAGCTTACAGGCTATATGTTTAAGGTTTAAAATTTTAGAATATTATAAAAGCATTTCGATATTTCATTGAAATCATCCTAATTTTTAGAAGTATTTTCCTAAAAGATTCAGTGGAGAATTAGTGATTAGATAATTGGTTTACTATTTTGATATGATTCACCTACTAGGTAACTGCAATTCACCTACCAAGTCACCATGATTCACCTATAAGTCACTATAATTCAAAAGAAAAAGAAAAATGCATATAACTACACAAGAGTTTCTCAATCTAATGAAAACATATAGCAACAAAAAAGACAAAAAGTCAAAATGGCAAGTAATTAACATATTTAATGAAAGAGAAGATGGCTARAAGATTAAAAGGGGGAGACAAAGAGAAAGATACATGTTAAAGTCTTTTTATTTTCTCCTTTTTAATGTATATAGTTCTTTCTTTGACTCTTGAGCCTCAAATGTGCAATTATGTTTCTGCTAATTTGAAGGTTTATCATCTAATTCCTTGTTTTTAGAAAGCTTTCCTAATTGTTTTTAGACTTTCCAAATATACTAGCGAAATATCTCCAAAATTTCTTCATCTCTACATGTCAAAATGTCCATAGATATAGTAATTGTGAACCATGGTTAAAACAAAACTGTCCAATTCCATGGAAGCTAAGATGTGAAGAGAAGCAAAGAACATAGAAAAGGAACTGAGCACCAGTGGTTTGGACAAAATTGGCTGATAATATAGCAAAACAAACACCAGTAGAAACCAACTATTTTGGGGAACAATCGACATTGACAGGAGAGTTAAAGCAATGTAAAGGGATTAAACAATGGGGGGGGGGGAGTGGAAGGTTCAGGTAGTGGGTAGTGCTGGGCACTATTTGTATAAACTCATCTGTACATACTTTCAATTCTTTTCATATCTTACCTATCAAAAGAAAAAAAGGAAACCCTGGTATTATGAATTTAGAATTGGGGATGGTGTGCTTTCAGGATAGCTTGGGAGAAATCTTCCTATATTCATTGGCCCTGTTTGAATTGCACACTTAAATAAGGTGATATTCTTTAACCTTTCACTTCACTACAGAAGTATTCCTCTCTTAAAAAAAAGAAAAGAAAATGGCAAAATAAGATGTAATTTTGTCAATAATTGAAATAGTACTTGGTGGGTTTGCTATTTTTTGTTCTTTATAATAGGAAAGCAAAACTTTTTTTTTTTTTTTTATAGGAAACGGTAACTTTCATTAGATAAAACCAGAGGAACAACTGTCACCTTCTAAAGTAAAAGGTGACCCCTGTATAACAAATAACTTACAACACTGCACAAAACAAAACCTCCCGGTTCACCCCTTGTTTTGCTAGGTTGTCAGCTAATGCATTTGCTGACCTCCTAGACCAATACACTTGTGCACCCAGTTCCCTTGTGGGGCTCAATAATTCCCTTACATGTTGTCTAAGGGACCACGTTCCCAAACTGTTTGATTGCAGCCAACCTACTACTAATAGGAAAGCAAAACATTGTTAATTGATATGTTGCTTAGATCAGGTGTTCTTTTCTTAGGGAGATACAATATCATCAGTTCCTGGTGATTTATATACTGGAGACTCCTTTGCTTGATATATTTGCCTATCTATTTTGTTTTCCCCCTATTTTCATTATATATTGTTTTCTTATGCTACTCTCAGATACCAAAAGGAGTTCAGCCTGGACAGCTTTTGGTATTAAGAGGCAGAGGTGGGTTTCTGTATGCCATATTTTCGGCATTAAGTTGCTAAGGCAGTTTCTTCTTTTCTTGCCTTTTTGTTCATACAGTTAATCAATTTTGTATGAAATGTGCAGGATTGCCAAAGCAAGGTGGTTTTATCAATCAGGGTGATCAATATGTGCGGTTCCGTATAAACTTCCCTACGTAAGTTATTCTATTTTGTACTGAACAGCCTTAAGTCTTAACACACCAAATTTTCATCTTGATCAATAGGGCATATTTTCTTTCATCAATCTGAACTCTTAAATGTCTGGGCTAGCCCTTGTGTTGGCCACAATCCATTCTCAGTGGTCAATATCTCATTTTGACCAGTCAGACCATCAGTCTTGATAAGTGATAACTATGTTTCTGGACCTGGCTAACCCAAAAAACAGCCCTGCATACGATCATCTGGACTAATATAATATAATTGGATTCAATCTTTAGAAAAAAGCTACTTTTACCACCCCCAGCTTCATTTATTTCACCTGAAGGGTACAAAAGATTCTGAGACCTAAATGTTTCACCTATTATTTTCACCAGATAGCTGGAAGTTTCTGCCTGAAAAATGTTTCACCTAATGCTCCTTTTCCACTCCTACTAAAGTTTCCGAAAGGCCCGAAACACACTAAAAGGTGAAGTCTTCTGTTTTTCCCCTTTGCAGTTCCTTGAATGAACGTCAACGTGAGCTGATAGAAGAGTATGCTAGGGATGAATGTAATTCTGGAAATAACACATCTGCTGAAGGAAACTGGTGAGCATGTTGATTATACGTGCACCTCAAATTTACAGATTACTTGGATATTTGTTTCTTTTTGAGAACAATTTTGACTATTTCTGATTCTTGATAAGCTTCTAGTAGACTCATCTCTAACTCCAGTTAATTTAGGTATTATAAATGATCCTTAACTTGTCCATCCCTTCTAGTAGGCTCATCCTTCACTTATCCATATTTAGTGCTGAATGCCAAACATGAGTGTTTAAAGCAATCAAAGTTGTAAGTTGGTTACCAAAATTTTATACCTTCAGCAGTCTAAAGTCATTAGACAAAGCAGATAACCTTTTCCAATTTTTCATAATAAGTAGTTTGACTCTTTTTATATTGTCATCTGAAAGGGAGAAAGAAGGTAACTGCAGACCTGATTTTTCATAAAATTTGATCTGCTTAAGAGAAGCATCTCTTCACAAGAGTCGCATCCCTTGCCTAAAAATGTTTTCCCATGAAAATTCCTTTGGGATTAGATCAATTGATTGGCCAAAACTAAATCATTCCTTAGAAACAATGTTCCCACAAGTGCATAAGCCCATTTATGGTGTTCACACCCAAAACCTGCCGAAATTCTTCAGTCAACCCGAGTTGTAGGTGGCACAATTCCTTCTCTTGGGTTCAAAATTGAAGCTCCAACGATGAGATTAGGGTTCCTATTGGTTAGGAACTAGGGTTTTTGGACTTGATTTTCTATGTTAGGGTTAAGGCTTGATTCAATTTATCTCATCAACCTCTCCTCGTAGTGGAGCGAACCAAAGCCCTATATAATATGGCATCCATCCAGCGCCAAATTGAGTAGAGATCTACTGGGATTGGAATATCTCCTAAATCTCTGCTCAATCCCAAATAGGAGACAAATGCAAATAAATTGGAAACAATCCAAGTATAAAGGGGCATAGGATAGGCAAATCTCAGTCAGTGTGAGACCCATAGGGTTCCTTGTTTGAACCAACAATCATTTGATTTTCTGCAGTGCCGTGTGACACTAGACCAAGCCCAACTTGGTCCAGGCCCAATTTAGAGTCGGGCTATGTTGGGCCCAGCCACCCGCAAGGCCCAACAATGTAAGTTTGAGTTGCATGGTATCCAACAGGCATAGTTGTCAAGGCAACAAGGCGCCCTTGGAGGCTCACCTTGCCTAATCGTCAAGCAGTTTTGTACTTTCTATTGTAAAATACTTTTTTATTCTTTATTTTTTGAGATTAGAATTATAAAATAGACATGATTAAACTAAAATATTCATTGTGTGTTTATATACTAATTTCTTTTATTATTTTTCTTATTTGTTAGGGTTTAATCAACACAAACTTTGCTAAATGCTGTATTGAACCCTCAAATAAGTAAGGTAGAACTTAAAGTTTTGTCTAATCAACACAAACATTTCTAAAATATCTTCTTTTCTGTTCTTCTAGCTTTTCTTCCATGTCTTCCATATCTTCTTTTTATTTTCTTCTTTTTCTATAACAAAAGTAAGGGTTCAGCCCTTGCTGTCAATACCCAACGTTGGGAACAATGGGGAAGGACTTGTTCCCTCACAAACATCCAGTGGTTGTCTTCTACCATGATGAATTTCCATAGAAAACATTTTGCAAACTAGATGATAAGACCATTTTGGAATCACCCGCCGATAGGATTTATTTGGGAATCCATCAAAGAGGACATAACAGAGTATTTCCTTTGATAACGAAGCAGTAGAACTTGTCATAATGATCATTTGTCTACATTCTTTTCTTGAATGTACCAACACACCTTGTCTTGAGTGGTTGACAGTTGTACTCTGTTTATATTCTCATTTCATCATTTCCAATAAAAAATGTACCAACACACCCAAGTATACTTCTCAATCGAGCCTCACTGGTCAGTGATGTTAATTGTCAAATACAACCAAGTCCAAAGCAAGACAAACATTGTTATCAAGTTCGAGGATCACTAGCAACGACCCAGATACTCCGACTACAAGTCCAGGATTCATCTGAAAGCGAGTCTAGTTCAATGTTTCATAAATATCCATGCTCATACCTAGAGCCATAACTTCAGCAATAGAGATGTATTGTCCCTTCTCACAAGGCAGTATTTACATGCCAACCTTGTTAAGCTAAATGGGCCCTAAGTCTAGCCACTAGTTGAGAACATTTTAGTCTGCATGCCTGATTATGTCATATCTCTAAGTCATGGTTCAAACCAATAACTGATTGCAATCCTAAAGTGCAAATCAAGGACATACAGAAACATGTACCCATTACACGTGTGATTATACAAATTAACTTTTATTCATGATAAAAGAAGTTCATAGCAATTATTGGATTTTGTGTTAGACAGTGTATGCCCTTAGCTCCAATCAGAATGATGTACATTATGACATTTATTGTAAATGAATAAAGTACATATTTGATTCATGTTATTGTGGTATGTTTCTGTGTAATACCCTTAAACTGGACACATATAAGACTCGTGTTAGTTTAGAACCTTCACAGTCGTTGAATAGATCTGGTGAGATTTATCCTGCCAAGGCTGACACTGATGTGCCGCCAAGTTTGTTAGGGTGGCTTGTCTCAAATGCCAGGGTGAGACTTGAGGTACATGTAGTGTGAGTTTTCTTGAAACCCTGAACCGGACCAGAATTCCAGTATTGCCCTGGACCTTGGAGATTGATGGGCAAAACTGGAATGTTACACCTGACACCTAGACTCGATTATGATACTGCACTAGGTGTCGGATTGGGCTGTCTTTGATATGCCAATC